TGGGGGTGAGGAGTGGAGTGGGGTGGGGGGGGGGGGGGGGGGGGAAGTTTCGTAGCTGAATTCTCATCCCCAAGTTCAACTTCAAAAATAGAAAAAAGTATACTTTCCTAAATGAGGAAAATACAAAATGCTGCTGGTGTTTTTTAAAAACATTTGTTGTTTTCAATGAGCATCTTAAAAAAGGCAGCATGAATATCAAGCTCAGACCCAATCCTCTGAACTGCTGAGCAGCACATGGCAAGTTACATTACTGCTTTGCCTCAGCTCTTCCACTCAGGACCACTCACTTTCCTTCCTGTTCTGCCTGCGGCAAATGCTACACAGAGAGAATATGCAACAACCAACAGCTCCAAACTCTCCTTGCTTGGATGCTCCTCATCAGGCTGCATTTTAATTTCTGAGTTGTTTGTGGTTTTTGGGGCAGGGGTGGTGGTGAATATAGAGCTAATATAAATCAAGTGGGACTGATCAATGTATTAACAGAAACACTAGGTAAATATGCAGCTTTGCCTTGTCGACATAAGTAGCATATCTATTCTTTAGCTAAACTTACAAATATAGTAGTATCCCTGTGCACCACATGATTAACTAAGTCAACATAACGCACTGCTGAAGATGCACAAGTTTCTCCAATGAAGGGAAGGTCAAGCAGCACTCACTTGCCTAAGAATAGAATTTTATAATTCATTGAAAACAGAATCAGAAAATACTAACATTTTACAGCTCTGGTAAGTACACATTTGTCCTACTTTCATCATCCCATTATGAGGATTTGCATCATGGCACAGTTACAAATTCCAGACTCATAAACCAGAATTATGAAAACCATGATGACAGAGTGAATGAGCACCGACAGAGAAGATCCTCACCCAGGTACACCTGCTGACTCCATGCGGTTCGCTAAGGACACGTCATGCGACCAGACATCATACTGCCACTTCCGGAGGCCGATCACACCGCACAGCACGTTCCCAGAATGAATACCAACCCTCATATTGATATCCACTCCTGTGGCTTCTCTCACCTGCCTATGGATGGAGGAAGGTATTAGAGCATAAGTTACAGTTTTGATTTTCTCTCCTCCTCCTGGAGATCTGTTCAGGTTGAGTCTCATTATACACTTAGTGCAAAGACAAGAGACAAACTTATGAGCTAATGCTTAACTATCCAACTACAGCTAATAAATACACTTTGAACGTTGACAAGAAAACTAAGAATGACTTTATTCAATATCTTCATAGCCTTGATACATTAAAGTGCCTTCTGCGCTATACTTACTTTATTGCTTCACACATGTCGAGTCCCATTTTAACACAGTTCCTGGCATGAACCGGTAAGGACACAGGTAGGCCTGAGACACAGTAGTAACAGTCTCCCAGGATTTTTATTCTCATGCATTCATTCTCCTGTGAAATTACAGTAAACATATTTAACAGGAAAAAATGAACTGCAAGTAGGCGAATGACACCAAACTAGGACTCGTCTGTATCGTTTTGCGAAAGTCAGGCTTCATTCAATCCCTGTTGAAGCAAAGCTTACTTCTCTTTTCTCACATCCAAATGCCTGGACGTTGCTCACTGGAGGGTAACAGAAATTACCACCACAAGCATTTCTGAAATAAAATCATCTTACTAGTTTCTGACTATTCTTGGAACTGTGTGCAATTAGGAAACTATAAATAAAAATAAAATTGTCACAGAGTTTACCATCTAAAGGATGAAATCTACTTATCTCTCTTTTAATCTTTGTCTCTATTAACACCTGAATTCTAGGCAGTTTGTTCACCTTTTCCTCCATTTTTGCATGGCAGTCTCATAAGTAACATTGTGCAGTGTTACAAAACCTGCACAGAATTTAGGGAGAAGTTTGGGATTAAGATGCCCAACCTGGTAGCTTTGCAGAAGCAAAATGGGTTTTTTTTTTTTGTTTCAAATATGACTGAAGAGGAAGCCGGCACACACTACAGTTTGCCATCACTGATAAAAAACCCTGCAATACTATCTGGCAGCAGCAAACTTTTTCCTAACTATGCAACAGAGGATACTGCTGCCCATGACTGGCTGGAGAGAGGAAAGGGGGAGAGCAAAGAGCTCCTCATACCATCTTTTGTTAAAACATTACTGAAGAATTTTAACTACAAAGGTTGCAAGCCAGCCAGGGCTAATTCTGCCAGGCTGTATAGTGTTTGACTGATGAGTAGAGATGGCTTAATTTCGGCCAGCTGACACCTTCAGCTGCCCAACCCTCCCTGCTGTGGGAACAGCCCAGCAATTCTTCAATCAACTCCAAAATCAGCCCAAATCAGTTGCAATTTACCAAACTAAGCTGTTCTCCCTCATCAGTCAAAGCCTTAAGAGAACATCCACCATTCTCCACCATCTTAAGCCATCCAGTAGGTTCTGAGCATCGCAGCAAGCGATAAGCTAGCCCTGTGCTTCAGTTTCAGAGATCAGCAGGGGAACCTAGCCCTAGATTAGAGCTGTTAGACTTCAGTATCCAGCTCAGTGTCCCCGTTAGCCATCAACTTTTATTAGGTAAATTGGAGCCTACAACATTTTTACATTATGGAAAAGATGACTGAGAATACTCCCCAGCAGAACAAAAATAGCACAAAAAGCAGGAATCTCTTCTTACGTCTCGACCACAGAGTTGCAAAAGACCTTGACTCACTAAATCCAGACATTTTTTTAAATAGTGCAATTTGCAGACAGGAGTGAGAAATTAAAAGATATCACTCAAAATCTGGAATCTTTTCTATTTTTCTATCTGAGGGACAGTTGCAAAAAATGACCAAATGTCTTTAACCTCAGCTTCTACTTTGGCATAAAAAGCTCGTGGCAACTAAGACAACATGACTTATTCTGTGTGTTCTTAATAGCTGCTTCACAACAAGACAATTACAATACAATTAGTATGACTCATTTGCCAGTACTTGAGGTTTTAACAGCAACTGAATTCATATAAATACAAAGATTAGCAATGTCATTTAGTCAAAAAGGTCAGCTAGGATTTTAGCCAGGTTTTAATCAGTGATATATTTAAGAATTTACTCAATGACATCCACAAAGGTTTAATTAAAGCAATTTCATTCCTCTGCTATATTAATCATTTTAGCATTTTCCCATTTTTTCTGAAGAATTTTTAGAATTTCACAAAAACAAGACTTTCCAAGTCCATTAATTTTCTAATTTGCATTCAGTATATCAAAATATAGTCAATTATGAAATCAAACCAACATCTTTAAACCATGGGAAGTTTTGCTAGGTAGTCACTAGCCTTGACTTATGCTTTACCAATGCTAAGTTTCTAGAATCAGAATTTGGGTTGGTATTTGTTTTTTTTTGATGTCACATTGGATGCAACAAAATACGGCGTTTCTTTTCCTAAAGCCATATTTGCCTCATAATACTAACAGAAAAATCAATGGATATGACAGAACATATATCCAAGATTAGGATCAGTTTTAGAGGATAACAGAAATCATCACATAGAGTCAATGACGCAAACACGTATATGATACAGTCTCTGTAATCTGAGAACTCAAAAACTGAGTGTGCGATTACAGTTGCAAAGAAATTAGCCTCAAGCAGCATTTGGAAGTGGTAAGAGCTACTGCCAGCCTGAAGGCTCAGTAGTGATGGTATGTCTTAATAGGGACCATGTTAATCTACTTCCCATTCTTACACTTTTCTGTAAGTATCCATTACTAATTATTACTGCTGAGCTAAAGAACTCCTTGGTCTGATGCAGTATGACTGAATTTATGAATTTAAATGTGTGCCTGAGAGTTCTCCATTTGTAGAACCAACAAACAATCCTTCTAACTGAACACAGCAAAGCTCCTCAATAGAGCTTGTATACACAGCTTATGGTCCTATTACAATCATTTATTGCCGTCAGAAAATTTCCTGAACAATACAGATAAACCTCCAGTCTCAAGAATTGGAATTACAGTAACAACTTGCTAAATTTCCCATTTTTGTTTTAAATTTTGTTTTAATGTCATTTTGCTAGTTAGCTTTAAAGCCAAAGCAGTCTTCCTTTCCTGACTTCAGAAGCACTAACACCAACTGTCTTCTGTCTTGCAGAAAAGACTTCTGTTTCCGGTGGTGGCCTTTATCCCTACTGCACAACAAACTGCAACACCTACCTTTGCAATCTGATCAAACTTTCCAAAAAGTTCGTTCAGCATCACTACTAGTTCCTTAGGAGAGCAGTCACTGGCAAGGCGAGTAAATCCTACAATGTCTGCATAAAGAATGCTAGACAAGAACAAAAGGAAAAAACATAATTGAAAAATGAAGATATGTCTATTCTACAGTCAGCTTAAATATCAAAATGCATTTAATAGAAAGTATCTCTCTCTTTGGAAAACAGCTCCAGAAAAAAGGGTTCAAGTATCTCAACTGATTTAGAAGACAGCACATCAGTTCAAGACACATTATCTTCCCCTAACAGGAAAGCAGCTCACTTTAGCCTGAAAGTCTACCTCCAAACTGTAATTTCACTAGACCATATACACTGTTAAGAATCAGCAGCTTATATTAATACAATTACTTCTAGAGTTTCCGCTTACCTAACATTTTGGTGCCTTTTTACATATAGACTGTGGAAGTTGTTGTCGTGCATTTGCCTATTATCATTAGTTTCCTTTAGTCGCTCTATGATTGCTAGCTTCATTTCCATAGAGATATGAGCTGGCAGTATGGATAAAAGCAAATTTTCCTAAAAGGAGAGGGAATAAAATTAATGATGCAAAATTCTTAACATGGTAAATTTGAAACTGCAGGATTTTAGTGACTGCAAGAAGGACTTAAAGAAAATAAAATGCCTTTATTCAAATAGCTTTTGAGTAATGTGTATCAGGTTTTCCAGAAGAGACTTTTACATTTCTCTTCTCAAAAGCAGCGATTTTACAGTTAAGTAAGGGTGTTGCATATTTTTTTCTTTTGTTCCTTGTGACCTAGATGTGACATCTCTCTGTAACCATGAAACACAGAAAAATTCAGTATTCAGTACTACAGTTTCTGGATAAATGAAAACTTATTTTGTCCACCAATCCTAGTGTTATGTTAGCATCATCTGATAAAGCTTCTGGTAAAAGCTTATATTCTATAACAAACAATCTATGCAGTATTAAAAACCCTTGTGAATTCTCAAATGCTGGAAAAGCAGCAACAGATACAAAAGTGTCGACAACATGCTGCTATAGTTTAAATGAACCAGGAACTGATGCCACTGAAATAAAGTCTTTTGAACTGAGTGAGAATACAGACTCTTCAAAAACCACTTGCATTGTTTGACTAACTCAGTGCACCGTTTTACACTGGCTTTGACTTACAAGCCCGTTCTTCAAAGAAGAGCCTGCTAAGTTGCTGGGCAGAAGAGTAAGACAAAGAGAGTACTTTTAACCCAGGAAGGGCTCTACCGCCCCAGAGACAGAGTCACCACAGAAAAGGAAATTGTTGCGTGGAGCAGCTACAAGCAGGAACTTTTTCAGATGGTATTGCCAGCAAGGTCAACATATTGTGTAACTGAGTAAAATGCTGTCCCTTTTGACCAAATCTTTGTCCCCTTTTCCTGAACACCTGATGCAGCAGTATACAGATGGCAGTAAGCTGCCAGGGTTACTTAACCAGTGCCTGCCACCAAAAAGAAATGCCATGTGATCAGAGTGGGAAGAGGGAGTCCTTGAGCATAAGTATTGGACTACAGTAGGTATAGAGAGCAGTCTAGTTTGAGATTGCCCCCAGAAACACCTCCTTCCCCTCCTCTGGCATTTTAATAGCAGGAGAGTCAACCTTGGGAAACAATTTAAACTGACAGCAGAGCCCCAGTGAATGTAACGGGGCCATTTGAGGCTGACACATTACACGGTTTTCAAGGAAGCAAGTGATGATGAACCCTGAACTGCATTTCTCACATCATTTTCACAGAGAAAAAGTGGGTGGCAAAAAGGAGACTCAAAATTGTGTGACAAATTACAACACAAATGAAAAGAAAGCTGTCCATAGACTTAAGCACATCTACACTTCAAACAAGCAACCATAAAAAAAACCAAAAGAACCCATGCAAGTTACCACATCGCCCAAAGAATGAGAGCACACTGCCTGTGTAAGCTGATCAGATGCTTCCCTGGCTGATGCGTGGGGAAATTCTGCCAGGGCTTTCATGCAGATTTGTCATCTCATCTCACAAGATTAGCATCAGAGGACAGATCGCGCTAGCAGTGTGGCATTTTCTTCTTTTCAATTTGACCAAGTCAGTCACTTTTCAGCCCCTTCCTTTTATCTAATAACTGGTGGGCAGAGAACTCGGTACACATCAGCCTTCTAGAGCTGCTGTTCTTAACCCTACTTATACCAGCCCTAGTTTCAGCTTTGATAATTCTTTATAATCCTTCCTCAATAAGAAATTCATGTTCCTTGCTTATTCTTTAAATACCACTGGAGTTAATGGAAATAAATGTTGTCATACTTGTATGCTGTGATCTATTATATGATTTTTTTTTTCTCCCTTAGGCTCCAATTTTCTCCTTCTAGCAAAAGAAAAACAGTTTGTGAGACAAGAAAATACAAGAACAAATAATACTTTGGAATTCAAAACAAAAAAAAAAAATGTGACCGAGGGAAGCATGAAACTAACTGCTGAAATTACGAGTATTTTTCAGGGCATTAAGGGCATGCTCTTTTAAGTTACCTTGGGCGAGTCCCAGTAACATTTTATACTAGGAAAAAAGTAACTAAAACAACTGGCAACTACATTCCTGTTACACATACTGTGATTCTCATATAGACAAGCCACAGAGAACAGCTTCCTCCCTTTAACTTCCTTCTTTTGTTACAAATGGCACACCTTTTATTTTCGACACTAGGTGGGTATCACAAAGATTGGACCATGCCTTTCAACATGCATTAGTCACCAACATTGTAAAATTATACAGACTTTAGAAATGAAAACAAGCAATTCATAACATGAATTAGTTCACTCACTTGTTGTCTCTTTTCAATCTTCAATTTCATTCGGACCTGAATGCACTTTAATGTGTATCTATACAAATCCCACGAAGCAACCTGCATTTGGCGTTTGTGAAATGCACCCATCAAGTTACCACAAAGAAAAATGACAGCATTGGCAAGTAGCTGCACAAGAAGAAAAATATTTACCTGCTGCAGAATAGTCATTGATACTTCACCAATATACATACTAGCCCCTTAAAAACAATCAATCCCAGGTCACGTTCAATTTTTCTCTTACCCTGTCACACACCAAGTCATAGCGTTTCAATTAGCCAGGATGTACCTGGAAAATATAAGCTAACTGTCACAGTCACAGGCATTCCTGTACGAACATACACTAGTATAACGAAACAGAAAATTCTGCTATATCATTTAACATTTATTTGCAGGCACCAGTGTTTGATTTAGGGAGAAACCAGTCTACAAACTCATGCATCAGCGTGCTGTGTGAAGTCTGACACACACCTGCATCAAAAGAGCTGGGGTGCTCCTTTGAACACACCCTATTAATGAGTGTTAGGAACCCTGAAAGCACCCAGTAGCACTCCCAGGCCCTGCTGACTCCCCAGGGCAGCAATGGCCCTTTTGATCCACCCTGTAGGCAGTGCCAGATGAAGTTAGATAGAACCCATCTGAAACAGCACAGATTGGGAAGAATGATTGTGACAAAGTTTGTCATATTTTGAGTAACTTAGTTAAAAGATTAAAATAATAATTCTGCTTCTTCCACTTAAGTCAGAAAACCAAAAATGCATTATAGATGAGAAGAATTGCAATTTTATGAAAAGCATGCAAAACACATTGGGCTCAAGCTCCAAATCCCTGAATTTGGAACATCCATGTGGAAGTTTGGAACTTATCTAAACAGGATAGTTATGCCAATATCAAATGGTAATACGACTAGGATATTTAATTACTTAACCAAGTAGTATATCCTTACCTGAAATAGAATGGGTTCCTTATTTTCCCGAGAAGACATGCTCACCACAATGCTTAGAACAATAATATGGGAGAGAGCAGAAAGAACGCTAATTATGACAGCACCTCTCATCCCAAAGGGCAGCATGGTATAAACTGTGAAGATTATGAATAGAAAGAATGGCACCTTTGGAAAGAAAGAGAGAGATAAAGTTTGAAAGAAAGAGAGAGATAAAGAGAAAAAGAAAGAAAGAAAAAAAAAAGGAATCACACATACATGTTATTAGGGGCCTGCCAAAAAACTACAGAACCCTTTGGAAAGAAAGAGAGAGATAAAGAAAGAAAGAAAGAAAGAAAGAAAGAAAAAAAAAAGGAATCACACATACATGTTATTAGGTGCCTGCCAAAAATCACTACAGAACAAGGAAGAAAGTAACAGGATTCTTGCTCATTTGCAGGCTGAACAATTAAATGTTGACATTTCAAAAGCACAATTTAAAACATAAGGACAGTGGTAGTCCTAAAAGCTTTGAGGGAATTAGCAGCTATAAATTCATAGATAAGACAGTTTAACATGACATATCACCTTTAAGTTTTTCAGTTGTCCTTCATCCTTAATTTATCCATTACAGCTGAAGATGCACTTTGTACATCATGTATCAGGAACAGTGTGTTGCAAGGATAGCAATATTGAATAGAATTAGAAAAATAACTTGGAGAAGGTGAGAAATCTCATTTTAACATCACCTGATCACGGGTGTGTTTACTCTGTATTTGATAAAAACCAAAAATCCAACCAATACTTCCTGGTGCTGACACAAGAGAACAATCATTATTGCCACTAACTACGTATTTAGCTGCACAGGTTTTACAAAACGCACAATGGTCCACTAAACTGCTAGGTAGGGATCAGAAGGAAGGTCTATAAAACTTAAGTCCACATTTATAGATTTGTTATAGTGTTTAGCTCATATATATGGAAACTAACCACCCTGATCAGAGGAAAATATTGGAGCGTTCCTGGCTCAGCTCCATCTCATCATTACAACTCAACTCATGCCGTTCCAGACATGAGCTTCCTTCAAGGAAGTCTCAAGGCCCAGACTGCACTTAAATGTCTTGCCAGAATAGATAGCTTGGTTCGGACAACACTAAACAAACAAGCAAATAAAAGTTTTCATTCAACAAAAGTAATCTTTTCATGTTTATCTTTACTGTTTTAGCTGGACTAAAAAAATCTTTTTCTGCCATACATACAAACCCTATCACACAATGTTCTGAACGCTGTGTAATAGTCTTATAAGCACGGACAAGCAAAGGTCATACCTGCATTTAAACAGTAGCTTTAATTAGTGATAAATTCATAACTTGAGATAAAAGTCTGAAATGAACCTATTCACTTCTACTTTCTAATGTAGGGTCTCCTTATATTTTAGGCTTTAAATCAACATTAATGAATTATTACCACATGACAACAACGCAAGACATTGGCTTGCAGCACTGAAAGCAGCAAAACCAAATCTTGCTTCGTTACATGTTTGTACTTATAGTTAAGAATAGTAAATTTTGTTTTTTCCCCAAGGTAATAGCTTCTTCCTTAAGTTAAAAAATACTGAGTAGCAACTGTAAATACAGTGCTGGATCCAGGCCATAATACAAATCAGATTTTGGTTGTTTAAATGATAATTTATATCTTTCTTTATTTGAAATAAAGAGGGGAAGGGGAAGAGTCAGTAAAACAAGACAAAAAGTCATTTTTATTTCATTAAAAACTCTTCTGTTTACATTATGAGAGCTTAGGAGGAGTTTCCTACAGATTATGATATTTTTGGCATCATGAAATCGCCTGTCTTCTCATCAGAGATACTAAGCAATGAACTTTAGCCACACCCAGCTCTGCCAGGATGTGTCATTAATTCTTATTGTTCACTTCACCTCTCCCATTGATTTGAAAACATGCTCCCTAGGGCACACCCAGCTCTAGAGTCCTTTATACATTTCTTGAACACCACTTCGACCCATATAAATTAACAAAGCAAGTATTATTAATAAAACATTCTCTCAAAGATTAATTCATAGTAATTAAGATTTAGTAAAAATCTTAAATAAAAATACAATTCAATTACAACTTAAAGATGCAATTCCCACACAGATTTATGCAATCATCCAATTTTCTCAGCTGAACGGTATTTTCACTATAATAAAAAATACTAACAAAAATTGACTATAATAAACCAATAAAACCAATTTAGGAAGATGAACCTAAATCTCCAGAAAAAATTATTATGCAGTTGTAACATTCAGAAAAAATAAAGCACACATGTTCATATATACTGACTACCAGTTCTATGTGAGGACCTAAATAAACAAGATATACATACCTGTTCCCAGAGTTGATAATCATTTTCTTTTTCAAAAAGAGATACATATCCTACTATTAAGAAGCAAATCCAAATCGTAACTCCAAATAATGTTAGCCATCTCCGAAATAGGGATTCAATACATAAAAGTAAGTACATGACTGCAAATATGACAAGAGCAGCACATACTGCAATAATGAAGGCAAGATGATAACGTGCTTCCTGCAAAAGCAAAACAAAGTGTTACATTTGGTCTAAATGTCCCCTTTAGAAAAAATGGAAAATGCATCTATACTGTCCTGGAAACAGCTTAGAAAGGAACTCAGGTTAGCAAATTTTAAAGCTAAGTAGTCTAGCTGTGGCAGCATTAACACGTTCAGATATTCACACATACAGAGATAATATAATAAATACTGTTATAGATACCCAGTCTACCCCAGTTCCACCATTATTATTTCCCAAATTAGTGTTTTTGGTTTTGTCTTTTAAGCCAAGTTCTAACTATACTATAATGTACAATGCAGATGTACCCAAAGAAATGCATTTAAGGAGTTCAAGCTTTGCTAAAAAGGAGTGCAACAGCTCTTTTCCTAAGTTTTACAGGAGACGACTTGTAACATAGAAATAGTGTTGCTACTTCTTTCCTTTTTTAAGAAATAAAAGCTAAAAGGGATACAAGTGCAATTGGGTAAGATTAGACTTGTTGCTAAAGAGAGATTTAAAGACACTTTATCATGAAGCACGGCACTTGGAAAGCAGCGTTAAAAGGCAATGAAGGATTATAACAGCTTCCTTATTACCTCTTCACAATGTTATCCTTAAATCAACTCCCCTTTTTACCAGCTGTCAACTGGGCTGGCTGGAACAACACCTAATTTCTTTACAGAAAATTCATATTATGCTACACAACAAAAAATTCTTTAAGCTGCAACTTTCCTATGCCTACAGGATCCCTGCTCTTTGCTAACTATTGATTCAGCAGATCACCTGCTGTACTGGGAGATTCCTGTTGTGGTTTTATTGGGGAAAAAAAAAAAGAATAGGAATTAATATCTACAAATCCTTAAAAAAAATCACCTCAGGAATTCATAACCAATGATCACTGTACTATTTACATTTCTTAGATGACTCTAAAAAGAAAATATGAGAAATGCAGGACATTAATTTATGTTCTTGTTCTTTCCTTGGCCCCTTTATTACTTATTTACTACCGTAGCTACCATTTAGCATAGATTATCAATTGTTCATAACATATAGGAAGGAAAGAACAACCCCTATAGTAACTGTGCCTGTGCCTGACAACAGTCTCCTCTCTTCCCTGCACTTCAAAAACATACACAGCATTACATACACAATTACTTGATTTATTTCAACATCACAACTTTGATACCATGTGGCTCAAAAAATTATTTAGCCAGAAATGTTGTGCTGTTGTGCTGTTATAGTGATTCCTCATCATCTTCAAAAACATCAAACACAAAGAAAAAAGTATACTCACATCAGTGACAAAAAAGATTATAATTAGCGTAGTCCAGAAGATGATTGCAATGGAGAGCAGCAATAGCAGGAGTGGATGCTGCTGGCTTGTATAGCGGTACTTCTCATAGAGCGGGTCTGATATGCTGCAGTCATCATTTTCATTGAAGAAGTATTTACCTTTAGCTGGCATTTTCTCCCAGGTTGGCTGCTATTTCTCTCAGTTCCCAGTGCACACAATAAGACACAGCTGAAGCTACTGCTTCAAAGAGAAATTTTGTCTTTTCGCTGCCGCCTCTGCAATCTTTAGGCACACCGAGTAACCCACGTTCTCTGATTTTACTTCTCATGAGCATTAACTTCAGATTTCCAATGCAATCAAAAGCAAAAGCCTCCCCAAAACCACAGGCGATTCATCATCAGCTCTACACATGAATCTCTAGATCAACTTGTATTTGTGCAGGTAGAAGCTTTTGGCGTGGGTTTTTCTTAATTATTATTTTGCAAGTCTCTAACTCCTTTCCATAAGCTTGAATATCACTTCCTGGGATAAACTCTGCAGAGAGACAGTATTATTAAATTAATGTATTCAGTTAAGTGTACACAGTGTTTCCCAAGGCGGGGGGACAGGGGTACATTCCTTAAACTTCCTATCTGCACGCTCTAACCAGCGAGCAAAAACTGTTTCTTGCTGACAGGGTGGAAGCCCAACAGCCCCGTGCATGGGCAACACTGCCCAGCAGCCACAGAGGCAGGGCTCGGGCAGCGCTTGCCAATGGCTGCTCTGCACACACCACTGCACCTTTCTCTAGCAACTGAAACATTTTCATATGAAACGTACTAAATTTATTTTGTTTCCTTTTGAGCAAATGACATAATTTCCATGAGCATGTTGTGTAACTGAATACTAAAAACTCTTTCAAAGTGACGTGTGTGCCTGTGTGTATGTACATATATATATAAAAAAAAAATCTTTAATCACATACACATTGTTTGTATTCTTTTTCAAAACATGCATCTTGATTTTTAAGAAATCCTTTTTTTATTCCTTTCACACTTTAATTAAAAGGCATAGAAAATGAGAAAAGAATACAGCTGTCCAAGCCAAAATTCATTTAAACTTTTTTTTTTTAAAGATACTTAATATCTAGTTCTATATATTTAATGCAACTTGAATTAATAGTGTTTCCAAGGCAATAGGTGTGTTCTGTTAACAATGAACATTAAGGAATGAAGTGTATTGTTAATTACTAATGACCAATGTTTTTCAAATAGATTCATGAATATAGTTCACTCAATGCCAAGAGACATAAAACAAAAAAAACAGGGGGATGGGATGGAGGGAAGCATGAAAAACAGGATTTCAGAAGAAGTCTTATTAAAACTTGATAACAGAACAACAGCTTCTTTGCCACTTGACTGCCGTCACCATGGTGCCCAAGGCCATTGCTCTGGGGAGAAAGAACCCACTAAAAGACTTGTAGAAAAGCCAAATCCTAACCAGTTACTCTCAAAAGGCAAAATGCTTAACTACACACATGCGTTTAGACTGCATTCACACTACAACCAGAAGTGGTGTTAAGGAAAAAGTTTCAGAAACCATACTGAGTGATTTAGCCTATGTAAAGGGAGACAAACACTAGCATACTACCCAATTATTAATGACCAAGCAGGCAAAACCAGATATACCAATACTGAGACTGGACAGAAAAAAAGTGAACTTTTGCAGCAAAATGAGTAACTACAACTACTTGCCCAGAGTATATCACAAACTTGGATTAATCACAAGAAGAGAAAAGACCCTATTGCATCACTTTTATTCAGTAACACCCAGAATAAACTCACATACGTATTAAAAACTGAAATAAAATTGAAGACATCTTTCAATACATCTTTCCCATGTATAGTTAATGGTACACTTAATATCTCACCTGTACTGATTATTACTGAACTTTTCTTCATAATAAAAGGCCTACCATTTTTCACCTGAAAAAATTCTTCTGGTACTCATACCATCTGCAAGTGCATAATAATGCTCTTGCAAAGGTGTATGAACGCATCTTAGAAATCACTGACACTTAAATTAAAGGAGATGCCAAGAAGAAATTGAAACATTCAAATCATGCCCTAATGCATTTTCCAAGTCATACTTGGAATTACTTGGACCGCAGAATTACTTCACTTGAGTGTAGGCCAGTTTTTTCTGAAAAGCAAACTATCAGAAGGTGTGCACAGGGGCAAGTATTTTAATCTGAATTCATCTTTCAGTAACAAAGACAACTCCTTAAAGACAGTGGGGAAAGTTACAACTGTGATGCACCAGAGGCGCACACAACTCACTAAACAGCCTGAAGAATTCCTTTACCATGAGGGTAGAGGTGCAGGAACGCACTGCCATTTTTTCTGAAAAGCAAACTATCAGAAGGTGTGCACAGGGGCAAGTATTTTAATCTGAATTCATCTTTCAGTAACAAAGACAACTCCTTAAAGACAGTGGGGAAAGTTACAACTGTGATGCACCAGAGGCGCACACAACTCACTAAACAGCCTGAAGAATTCCTTTACCATGAGGGTAGAGGTGCAGGAACGCACTGCCTGATGTGATCCACTATACGTAAGAGACAAGAGGCTTGCTGTCCCAGTTCCCTCTAAAAGTGTCTTTTCAGAATAAGAACAATGAAAAAATTCTTTAATATACTTGCAGAAATATGATTTTGAGGATATTTTTTATGATAATAGGTATTTTGAGAGGCAGCTTTATTTTCCAGTTAGCAGAACCAAATCCATTTTCTAAAAATAACTATTAATTGCTAAGCAGTAATACATTCACAATTATGAGAGACAAGTAATCCTGTCTTGGGCTACTTAATATTGAAATCCAAGAAAAATTACTTCACAGCTTGCTTTCTATAATTTATTCTTCTGACTATGTCAATAAAAAAACAATACCAGGAACAATCTCTATTCTACAGAACTATACTGTGTGGCTGTGGTTCAGTTATCTAATGTTCAAAAGATGAAAAAGATGTCAAATGTCAGCTTGGAACTATCTCTGAATATTATTTAAGAGCTTTACAAGTTGAAGAGACATGTCTCTTCAATGGTTTAATACATTTTAATTAAAAAAAAAAAAAAAAAAAAAGAGATTGTTACCTTATCGATTTGTTTATTCCTCCGCTGATCTTCATAGATATACATTACAAGTAATTATGAATGACTCCTGGGTCATAGCATTTTCTTCTCAAAACTCTGTTAGGTAAAGAAACCTCCAAACAGTACTTTATTGGTTTACCAAGAATCTATAATACACTGCATAAATGCTACTTTGAGATGAATAATTCAACTCTGAACTAGTTTTAATTTGCATCCCATGTCCCACTGCCACTACCACCCCCCTTTTTAAAAAGTACCACAGAGCAACTTGTGCTCCTTCAGTACAAGTTAAATATTTTTTAGATTGCAAATTACTTGCAACACACAAAAATAGCTATTTCAGAATCATGCAATTATGCATTAGTTGAATAAACGCATTTTTACGTGACAAACATAATGACCTGCCAATCATCATTTTACAATCGAAAACAGAAATACGCACACACACATGTATTAGTACAGGAATTGTATTTCAGCTCCAAAACCACTACAAACACTTAAAGAGCTTTTTGCCTTTTTTTTTTTCTTTAACATTACTGGCATTACCTCTTTCCATTAACATACAAGACAATCTTTTGTTTAAGAAACTTTAATAGACTTAGCTGAAACTCACCACTGTTTGTGCCCTTCCCCCTTCTCTGAATTTTTCCAGCAACCTTCTGAAAATGTAGAAGACAGACTTGAGAGAGAGAAAAAGATTGTCTCACAGATGGCATCACGCACTAGTAAAATCATCAATTTAACACACTCCTGTTTATATATTTAAGGATCACGTGAGCACTATGCACCACAGCATCACTTTTGCTTTTTTTGGTCATTGTTTCTTGGAGATGTGCCATTCTGACACCACAAGAGAGGTGTAACCCTGAAACGGCAACAGGCCACAAAAACCAAACAGCACTTCCAGAAGCACCAGTGGCAAACACACCAAGCCAAATGGGGACTGGATCTGGGCTGCTGCCATAAAACCATGGAGCTCTGATCATCAGTTTATTGAGAAAAAGCCTCCCTTATTTAGAAGCCTTCACTGTGTTCTGAAGAATGAGAAAGGAGAAGGAACAATCTGTCAACCAGATTAGTATATATAAGAAACAACCCCAGCAGTATGGGTTGGAAACCACACTGAGAACCTACAGGAACGTCTACCAAACAAACGAAAACAATTTAGTCAGATCTGGGTGAGCTCCACAGCCATCTGCGTGCCAATTAACGTGAAAAACATTTAGTCAGATAAAGAAATTTGCCCAGTGAATATGTAAGAACAAACACTGGACATGTGATAGGCATAAAAAAATTGGACAATAGAATTCCTTCCAGAACATGAATCAGAACAGCTACAGCCTTCCAAATCTACTGTTTCAAGCCACTGGGAACAAGGTTGTGTTCAGATTCAGCAATAGAAATTTATTGAGGTAAGTACTGGGCAAGACCTGGCGGACATGCAGAGCCACCTTTCACTTGCAAGCAAAAAAGACAACATTTCTATCTTCCACAAATCTGGGTATTTGACTGCTCTATACTTTCCTTCCCATAGATAGGAATTTTCAAGCATCGCTAAACTCTCCGGTCTCCTACTTACAAAGCCATAGGATTTTGTTACAAAAAATATGAAAGCAAACATTTTATTAGGCTACTAGGTTTGCACTGAAGCTCTTTTGTTCTCCCGGGCTAGGTAAAACTGTCCACAGTGCTTTGAGCAATACACAACATTTTCTTAAGAATTGGCCTGGACTCAACAGTTGCAGGATAGACATGACCATACTACAGAGCCTATAGAGACCACGTGTTTTAAAGAAAAGTAACTGAAACATGGTCTCATGGGCTACACTAACAAGTCATATTATAAAAGTCAGAGAAGCCTCTTTCTTTTGCAGTTTCCTCAAGGTAAGTAGCTACAAAAGAAAGTCTCTTCATAAGGAAAACTAATCTGGGAACATGCATTACACAGACCAACCCTTTACTGAGGCAAAGCAGAAAGTTCAGGGCAGACGAGGCAAATCAGCTGATGGGGTGAGAACACAATTCCCTGTGCCTCCAAAG